CTGAACAAAACAGCAGTAAGCAAACTGCAGGTGCAGAAAAAAAGTCCTCTCTTCAGTAATTGAACTCGTATGGCTGCCTACCATATTTGCAAAAATCACAGTAACAGCGGACACCACTACAAGCAGTCACACAGGTTGCGGRGACACTGTCTGAAGAAAGGAAACGGAAAAGAAGCAAACATAACCCAGTACAATAGTCGCCCCCCACYCCACTCATACCTTCTCAAGGGATGGGAGTAACGTTTCATCCCCTATCTCCGCATTCCARTCTTCTTCAATCATGCTGCGCACTGCCAGACCTGCTTGCAGGACACAGAACACATCAGCACCTGGCCCCCGCCAGACTCCGGATGCAGGAGAAAATGGCGCCCCGCACCAAAACGCGCCGGCACAGCGCGCCGCCGGTGCCTGCGGCGAGGGTGAACGCACCCGACCCGGGCACTGCGTCGGTGGGGATGGAAGAGRTGGGGGTCCTCCCGTGGAAAAGCCTCCCGCTTCCCTAAGGGCACCGTCCAGTCCCTCTCCTACCTCCTCCCGACGGTATCCACGGGTGCGCACCGAGAGAAGATGGTGGCCGCGGCCGACACCCCTCAATACAGCCGCACGTGCAGCTGCCGGCGGGTCACGTGTGCCGGTCGGCAGCCAATGGGCGCGCGGGCCGGCCGCGCTCCGCGGGCCCGCCCCGGCCCCTCACGTGCGGGCGCTGCGGCGGGAATGAGGCCGCCAACGCCCGGCCAGCCCGCGGCGGGGCCGCTGCCGCACCCGCACCCGCACCCGCACCCGCACCCGCACCCGCACCCGCACCCGCACCCGCACCCGCACCCGCAGCGCTTCGCTAAGCACGCGTTTCCCAAGCGTTAGCCTAACGGCGCTTCGGCCGACATTCAATAATGATTAAAAAAATGTGTGTTTAATAAGTTGTTACATGCTTAAAAAACAAAATTAACCCCCCGGACAACCCAAACCTGAGGACAGCACCCCTTTCCTGCTGTTTTTTTTAATTATACCAGACTTGTTAGCGATGAGAAAGCTGGAATCCTGGCTCAGGACGTGATACTGGAGTGAAAGAGAACATGGATAGCACTCGGATCAGTTCAATGCATCTACTAAAATTAGTAGCAAAAAGCCTGGCATTCCTGCTCGAGTTTCTAAGCTGCCAGTGCAGTGTGTGTCTGTACCCCTCTTCATGCTGGGAGATAACACAGCAATGCATATTCATAAAAATATGAAGGAATTACATGCCATTTGATAAACATGGTAACACTGATTAACCTGCTCCACCATGTTCAACAAATTTGCCTCATCAGAAAAAGAGTTTGAAAAATAGTGTCTTTTGGAGAACTCTAATGTCTTCTGTTGCAGAGAGGTGATGCCAGAGCTGTATTTTGCAGTGCACATCTGAATGTCTAGCAGAGGCTTTGAGCACCAAGGCAAACTCTTGCAGCAGTTGGGGATTTTGGAAAGTGGTCTTTGAACTAATGCTATGGTTATTTCCTCATTAGCCATCATCAGTTAAGCCGTRTTCTTTGTAGCTGCTCATTCTTCAGGAGCTTCAAGACAGGACTCAGGTTAGAGTGCGAAGCAGGTAGGAGACATAACCAGCTTCTCTGTCTCACAGTGAGGCTAAACCTACACAATTTTTAATAAGTATGTGTGTGTGTGTGTGTGTGTGTGTAATGTGCTTAATGCTAGGAGTTACCAGTTTTCACTAAGTATTCAGTCAGATGCGTAATGTCCAAGGATGAAGAACTTGCAGTGGGAGCATCTCTCTGGAAAGTGTATAAAGCTGTTCACAAGTGCCTAAAGCAGCACCTGAAACTACYAGGGAGGCTCACGAGTTAGATTTCACCAACTGTGGTAACCATTTTACCTTTTGCCTAAACCTTAAAACAGAGTAAGCTGCTTCATGAGCCAAACTGGCTTCTGTTTGCATGGCACTGGAGCTCTGTTTTGGGTGACCATAAAGAAAAYGAGTAGTGTGTCTGTTCTGAAATTTATGGTTAGTGGCAGATGTGATCCTCTGAGACATCTAAGTCATATTGAAAGMTTTCAAACTGTTCCTCCACCTTTCCAGGAACAGGTTACCATTCCTTCAGATTTGCCAGTTTAACTTCACGTTCCACACTCCTTGACACAGTCAAGGAAGTACAGTTTAAGTTAATTATTTTAATGGTAGATGTGGGGAGCAGCTATAATTGCACTCATGGTAGCAAATCTGTAATCACCAGTGGGTGATCTCAGATAATTTTAACTACAATCAGATGTTAAATAGACTTGGAGAGTTATTTTCTTTCCTTATTCCTTTGATTCTACMCATTGTAGGGCACTATCTACTGCCTCCAAATTACTTTCCACAACACCAGGAGAAGCCAAACAGTGAAATATTGTGAATGCTKAGAAATTACATGGTAATTGTAATTWATTTGTTCAACTTAGAGGATTCTTTGTAGAGCTATTTTTTTCCCCCTAGGGCTGCCAACAATTCAATGTAAACCATGGTGGCAGTGTACAAGTTGCACAAGATGTTTACAGACTACCTTTGAGGCAATTATACCCAAACAACCCCACTCAAGCAGAGTCACCTAGAGTGAAAACAGAACAAAGTATTATCCAATATATTAAACAGTATCTYACGTAGTACATTCAGTTGTAATATGGAGTCACAGATAACCAGAAAATCATCCAGAAGTGTTTTACAAAAACTTAAAAGAATTTACCCTGAGTGTGAGTGCAACATCCTAAAGKGAGGAAGAAGAAACAAGCAATGTAAACATGTCATTCGTTCCAGAGGAATCCGCATGCTGACAACCTGCTGTAAYATCCTCTCCTTTACCAATCCCCCCAAGAATGAAACCAGCAACCTCAGGACCCTGAGCAGCTGGAGAAGGGTGAGCACAGCGCCATGAAAAGGGGTAGGAGGTGAATGTGTGCATAAAAAAACGTTATTCTTTCCTTTTGTGTAACAGTGCTGGACTATCAACATTTCAACAAAATTTCAGAAACATTTTCAGCAAATAATTGCCTTAGTTAAATAGGAGGTATACTTTCTCTGTGAACAAACAAGATTTTGGCTGTAACATAGTTTCTATATATTAAATGCTCTCCTGATGTATTAGCAGTGTCTTTGAGAAAGAAACCTAGAGTTTTCTCTAACAAAATGCCACACCCTCTAACTTTGTTAGCCATGTGAGCATACCCCTATTTGCAGCAATGGAGGAAGGTTATYAATGCATCCACTATTATGTTCTATAATGCCTCCGTTTTATGAATTTGTGTGTATTACAATTATATCTGCAAGTACAGAGTAAAGTATGCCTTGAGGAAGTAAAAAGAAGATACAACACAGCGTGAGATGGAAATTTCTTAAAGAGCTGGATTTAACACTCCATTATCTTACAGATTTACCAAGGGCTTCACAATTAATTTAGGCTCCCTTTTTTTCTAGACACTGTCCAAGCACGTAGGAAGTGACACTCTTTGCCCAGGTGGTAATGTGTCATCAGAATAAAAAGCCACTGCRAACAGTTTTTTGTGAATTCATCTGTGGCAGCAGATTTCATGAGGGAGCAGGAGGAATCTCTACACTGCTGCTAGGCCTATAATTGTTATAATAAAACATTTTTCTAAGGCGTAACTCGACAACTGTAGTGGGTGACCAAGAATGCAAAGAAATACAGATCATCTACCAGCTATCTACTTGCTACTTATGCAAGTCTTTCATAGCATAGGACAGTTCTTCACAAGTCCACTTGTATAGGTTTCAGTTTAATTTATTTTCCAAATTTTATTTTTAACAACAGCACATGGGTGTAGCATCGTATTTTAAGTTCCTGTGATAGCAGCTGGACAGATTTCCTCACTCATGGACTAAAATCTTCTAATGGCCAAAAATTACAGCATACACTTGGATTCTCAGAGTGATTCAGAGGTGAAAGATGATGGTGAATTTCCTGGGCACAGAAGAAAGAGTTTTGGCCTGATCGAGCCYGTGTGTAGCTGGATTTCAGGATGAGGAGCGGTGTTAAGTCTCTGCTGCCTTGTTTCCGTCAGCAGTCTGAAATTTAATTGCTCAGCAGCTTTCTTGCAGAGCAGTCCTGCTGCTAACCGCAGGACAAAATTCTGTTTTGGGCTTCACTGGAACAGGAAGCACGGGCTAGGATTTGTGTGTAGCTTGTTTTGTAGTATTGTCACATGGGGAAGCTCTCTGCTGTCTTCTTTGCAATTCAGCAGTCTTTGCAAGTACAAGCTATAAATAACTCTAGAGTCTGATATTAACCAGGGTTTCAACTGTGAAAAGGATTTTCTCAATTTGATGTAAGTACTGCCAAATTAAAACAAACAAAACCAGAAGCAACCAAAACAAACAAACAAACAAACAAAAACCACCAAAAAACCTAGGATTAAAAATCGTTAATTTCTAAAATGTATTGGCTGGCAGACTGTCCCTGTTGTTTAGTCTGCTTAGTGTGCTTTGCTCTACAAGTGTTTCACACCTTGGGGGCAGGACTGGAGGCCCAGGATACATTTCTCCATAACCAGTCACGGTGCAGACCAGCACGGTTTGTTTTGGCACGGCTTATGTGTGCATTTTGTCAATGTATGCATTGCAGTGACACTGACCGCAAAAGCATGCAATCAAATGAGTGATCCTTTTATATTTTTTTTTCCTTTCTTGTTTTTGACGAGCGGCAAGTCATCAGGTGTAGCAAGTCCAATCTCCCCGGCACTCGGCTTACGCTTGCCCGTGCGGTGAGGACCTCGGGAGCCCGGGCAGGTACAGAGCCCCGCCGCTTCCTGGGAAGCGTAGTCCTGCGCTCCGCAGGGCCCGGCCGGCTTCCTCGGCGCAGCCGCCGCGGGAACTACGCGGCCCGGCACGCCCGGAGGCGCCGCCGTGCTTCCTGTGGCCGCGGCGGGAGCGCGGCGCTGCCGGGGCCGAGCCGCAGGTACAGGAGCCGCGTCAGGCGGGCGGTGGGCTGGCTCGGCGGGAGCGGCCGCGGGGATCTCGGGGCGCGGGAAGGCTCGGGAGCGCGGGGTGGCCGTGTCCCCGACCGTGTGCCCGGCCGAGGGCCCCGCCGAGGACCCCGCCGTCCTCCGGGCTCGGCCTGCCCGCTCTGGGGGCGCGACCTGGGGGCGGAGAGGCCGGGCAGGAGCCGCGCCGGCCCGGACACTGACCGGCCATCCCGTGTTGGTGGCAGCACATCGTCAGAGCAGGGGTGGAGGTACAGGGACGGCATGGGAACCTTTCGGGCGGTCCGTGAAGTAGGGAAATGTTTACATCGGCTTTCACGGGCTTAAGGGAGGACCCGTTAAGTTGAAAACAAAACAAAAACAAAAATCGTGTTTAAAATGTAAGTTAGGTCCTAGGGTGATAATGTTATTTTTCTGTATTTACTTGCAGTCCCCACGAATACATGTGTGTAAGTTATACAAGCTTTATCTGTTGTAAGACAAATCTAGCTGAACATTACATTTCTTCCAATTTTTACTTAGATTTAGCATTTGGCATTGACCTGTTGGTTCAGTCAGAGCTACATGAAAGCTCAGCACGGGTTCAGCTTGTTCAGGTTCAGTATATTCAAGAGTCTTTTTCCTCACATTGTAGGGTTTTAATCAGCCTTGAACAATTCGGTTGTAGGAGAGTGTGGGCAAGCTAAGGTGTCCATAAAGTGCCACAAGAGGCATCATGGTGTCCCTATTTTAAGGAGCTTTTAATGTATGCTGCTACTTTCATGACCAGTATAACATTCTTCAGTCCCTTCTGATGGAGGATTCACTCCAGGAACTGAGGAGCTCTACTGTCCTATGTTGAAGTTCCTGTGTTTTAGTGTGGACTGTGCTTATTTCTCGTAACTCATATGTGTACAGCCTACAGTTTACTTGGGAGTTGTGGCTTGAATTATATTCATCCTGCTCGGCAYTTAAGAGAAGGCCACATCACACCAAGTGGGACTTTAAAAATATTTTCCTTGTTTGAATACATACTTCAATTAGCAGATTCTGGTATTTAAACCATGAGTATGGTTTTTAGAAGTAGTAACTTTGGTAAGACACAGTATGAACAGCTCTTAGTGTTCTGGCTGCTGTTTTTACAGCACCATGATGGCATGGTAGGGGTAGTGATCCTCTCAGCCTTTCTCCGCCTGCTCAGTGTGGGAGGTTGTCTGGTAAATACCTGTCTTACAAACAGCTAAGCACAGTCTGTGTTCATGGGATGGTTGGGATGACTGACCTACTGAAGACAGTCATCATCATTGTTCCTATTGTGGGSTAAACCAGTTTTGTAATCCTCTTGCATGGCCTGGACTGTAACTCTGAATGATCTTTTGAGATGGGTGTCTTTTCACATTAAAACTTTGTCACCCACAACTGTAACTGAGCCATGAACTGCCATTGTTAAATTCATGTGCAAGCCAGCAAACATGGTTTTGCCATCCTGTGCAGACATTATAAAATCACAGATCAGCCACAAAGCTACAGTGAGATTTCKAAATCTGCCATGTCCTTGTCTTCACTCCTTGATGCTCTTTAGACTGAAGCCAGGAGAGAGAACCTGAAGGCTGCAAAAACAGAAGCTCATAGAAGCAAACCAGTGAGGATTAATGAAGGTCTAATCCTGTTAAGATTATCATCTGAAAGTCATGTATTGTCCAGAATGAGACTGGGGAAAAATAACTTACATAGCCTTTGGTATTGCTTCACAGTTTATTACCRGCAACAGAACACCTGGATTAATAAATTCTGATCCACTTGTTCTCTTTTACTGTCCTTCTGATGGGGTGCCTCAGATKTTTGTGGGAGAATTACAAATAGGGCAACAGGTAATACTAAATTTCAACACAGCTGTATTAGTAAAAGTTAGGAGAGATGTGATGCTTGTGGTAGAGGAGGGCAGAAAGCAGGGCRAAAGAGAGAACTTGCAGAAGAGTAGAACAGTGACAAGAAAATGGCAGAAAACCCAGAGAGATGAAAAGGATTTTTAGAGAAGAATATTGAGTGCAATGTATTGAGGAGAMAATCCGTATTCACTACCCAATATTGTACAAAGCAGTCCTAGTACCTGTTCAAGGATAATGAAACAAAGTAACAAGCAAATTAATTAAACGTGTTTAAAAGGACAGGTTGCAAAGTTAAGTGTTCAAAAATTGGAACATTGAACTTACCTAAGTTCAGTGAAAATGAAACTTAGGTGGTCTTAGTCATCTTGGTGTGAATGAATTGTGACATGAACTAGAAATACTTTATTTTTTTTCCTCACGCCAGACAGTTTGCACAATAGGGAATGTTTTGTTAGATTAGAGAATTGTGCTATTGAGTTCACTTGCGCATAAGGCTGATCTGTTTTACCTGCTGCTCAACAAATCATTACTGTTCCTCTTGGATGTTTTTTGCAGTGCTAATTGCCTATCATTAACTTTTGTGTGAAAGTTAATTTTTCAACATGTCCATGAGCTAAGGCAAGCTCTGGCACTGTCCTTATTCCAAGGACAGGAGTTCAAACACAGGAAAAGAATCCACAAATTTAGAAAGCTTAGTTTGAGAGCAACTTGATTGTTTCCAAAATATTAATATCCTTCACTGATGCACAGCACAAATGCTCTTTTGTTGCCCAGCATCGCATGAAGCAGGCTCTAAGCGGCAGGGAAAGAAAGGAGGTATCATACTGTAAGAGGTAGGTGGTCCCTCAGTTACCCTTCTAGTAGTGTTGCCTTCTTTCTTCTGCAGACCTTTCCCATGCTTTTTTTCCTGGACCGTGAAACTGCTGGTTCTGCAACCCAGAAAATCCCAAACAGGTGCCAAAACAATTAGCTCCTTCCCTAGCTAAAGATTTATATTTTGTAACTGGATCTGATTTAGAGCTCTTCCCATTCCTGCTCACTACCGAGAYAGGAAAAAAGACATAATAGCTGTGCTACCATAAACAGAAGGAAGAAAGACTGAGAATCAACAGCAGTATTTCTAGCTCATAGTTSTGCTAAAGGCAAAGTACCATGAATTTGTATTTCCARCTCCAGCTACGTTACAGCTAACACMAACCTCTTTTCCACTTGCAGGAAAATCTGGTTTGACAACAAATGAGTCAGGTATCCCTATAACAGCCTTTGCCATTTCTAARCAGCCATACTTTTATTCCCATAGAGCCATAGTAATTATCTGCATGCAAGAGTGGCCTCATGGAAGCTGTAATTGTTGTGTATCATAAAATACACAAACAGAATGAAGTTTGTTAAACAACTTGGCTTTTTAATGTAAATTCTTTGTGTTTGGCATCCTAGTCCCATTTATATGCTTTATAGACCTTATTTGATGGCCATACAGACAATATTCTGTGTCCTGTCACAGCTTTTAAAAGAAACCTCCTGAATGACGTGAACATAAATCAGATATTCAGTATAAGAAAAATGTTTAGRTAACTAGTACACTATGAAAGTTAAGTTGGGAAGAGGTTGTAATGGAAACATGCAATAAGTTCAGATAGCACAATTCACTCAATTCTATGTACTAGAAATGTTTATTGTGACTACAGTCTGGCCGCAGCCTTTATATGCATTATTGCTACATCTGTTTGTAGAGTAGCCAATTTGCTGGTTGTAAGCTTGCTGGCTATAGCCATAAACCTCATTGTTTATCAACAGTAAGTACTTTTAGCTGTCTTTGCAAATCCAGCTTCTAAGTGATCCTGATGAGTCAGTAAGCAACAGTTCCACAAGCTCCAAATCATGCTCTCAAGCCAAACTTAGTGTGTGATATGTTTTAGAAGGCTTATTATTCTTCATGAAATACTACAAAATCTGGGTTCTTTAGTTATAGCAGTAGTGCAGAAGAAGAATTAAACTGGTGATTGGTGTTGTCAGCATTTGTGAGGTTGACTTGTAAAGCACAAATAAATATTAACAGATTTAAAGAAAGTGATGTCCACTTGATTGCTTAATCTGTCTCACAAACCATGGCCTGTGTAAGGAGGGGATGTCAGTATTGTGGTATCTTATGGAAGATTCTGGCTAAAAGTATTTCTGAGTATTTGTGATTTGAATTTATTTTAATTTTCAATTCAGGCTTTAGGAATTTAGATTTTCATCTGAATTTTAATGGCTAGATCTGAAGTGTGATTTAAATGCTTAAGAGAGTTGCAAGATGCAGAACAAGTAAGGGGGATTGTGTTTGAGTCCTAGGTTTGTTCATGAAAAGAAGTCAGGATATTCAGTTGAGAAAGAATAGAATAGACTAAAAGAAGGTAATACCATATTTTAATGGGAATGACAGGACTGGGTGGATGTCTGCAGCAGTGTGTGAAATCTGTGGGGCCTGTGTATTTGTTTCAGAAATATTTAGCTATTGCAGGAAGCTGATGTGCACCAGGGCAAATCTTAACTGGAAGGGTTCAGGAAATGAGTACGGAGGAAGGAGAAGCCCTAGAGCTGTAGAAAAATAAGAGGAGCCAATAGAAAAGAAGTGTGCAAAAGGGTAGCTGTAAAGCAAGTTTGAAGAGGAACAGCGTGTCATATGAAAGGAAGTAAAAATACTGGTGTGAACTAAGATCTCTGTAAGTAGTGCTTAGTAAAGATGGTTTGTGAATGCAATTTTGACAGTGTGTAGGAGATACAGAAAATAGAAAGGACATGAGGAGCAGGAATCCACTTGCTAAGCATCACCAGAGGAGTTGAGAAGGATGAGAGCATGTTTAGCTGGGACCAAAGAGCCAGAAGCAATATGGTGGTAGAGGGTAAAGAATCAAAATGGGTGGTTTATAGAAGGCTGGAGTGGCAAAAGAGAGTTGTAAGGGTGATAAGAGAAATACCTTGGAAAGGGTCTGAAAAAGGTAGAAGAATAAAACTTTAGAGAGTGTAACAGCAAAAAGTAAGTGTAAAAGGAGGAGGATGCTATCAATGAGTGCAAATAAGTTTCTTAAGATTYCCTTGGTTATAACCACTGATTGCTTGTTGCATCCTCTCAGAGAGCTAAAGAAACCAAGATACAGTCATGCCTTTAAACTCAAACCATGCCTTTAAACTTAGTAATTGTTCAAATCTCTTTTCACGAAGATTGAAACTAGGAGAAATCTGTCAGCACTGTAAGATGAAATGGCTTCTATGGTGCTATCCTCTTCTTTGCTCAGGCATGCAAGTGTTGCAGGTAGCAAGCCCCAAGCTCAACACTGATCTAGGTTTAAAACAAAAGAAAGTTTGTTTTAAAAATTTAAAACAAAACACTTAATTTTCATCTGTGTCAGTCTTTCCAGTTCAGTATGGGATCACACAAATGCTATTGGAGTGGCAAAGCAGAACTTGAACTTTCAGTGCAGTTTCCATGAATTGGGTCCTTTAGTGACCTACTCCCCTTGAGAGTCGAGAGCCAGTGCCTGTGTCTGTCTCCTAAAAAGCACTTCTTGGCAGGTTGAGCCAGTCTTAATGCTTTGCAGTTCCTGCCATATCATCCATCAGTGTTTTCCCATGCCTCCTTCAGCAAATTTTTTTGAGCCCGGAGAGTAGATGTGGTTGAAAACTGATAATCTTCCTTTCTTTTTCATCCCCCTTCAGATTCTTTGATCTGTGGGGTTTGTTTTTTGGTTTGTTTTTTTTTTTTTTGGTTTTTTTTTTTTTTTTTTTTTTTTTTTTTTTTTTTTTGTGCCAGAGGTATTTGCAGGAGAAGCTAATGGAAGAGGATTGGCAATATGCTCTAGGAAGAGATAGAATCATGTCAGTGCTTAACTTGGCTTGGTGTGATTTCTGGGATTGGGTCTTTACATTTACTTCCATTAGGATGCAGAAGGATGATAGACACCTTATTCTTYCTATCTTACCTTCTTCCATTGCCACCCCAGGTTTCAAACCCTGGTGCTACCCTTCATTGTCTTGTGCCAGCTCTGGTTGTCATCTGTCTTTCCATCAGCCTGACATTTTAAAGCATTCTGAAGTGAAGAAAGAATTACCATTGTTTACGTTTACCATTGTTGTTTGAGGGTATCCTGGTTTCTGCCATTTTTGTTTGAAGGAATCCTGGCTGAGGAATTCTTCAGGAGCTTGCAGGGATGAGAGCTGTGAAATCCATTATGATAGTTCAGCTGCACACAAGATCACAGCATGTCCCATGTGAGGCCTGTAATCCAATTTAAGTAGATATCCATTAGCTTGAAAGCAATCTGGTCTCCAGTGTTTGGCCAGGAGTGGTCTAAATGCATATAATACTTACTATTAATGCATTATTAAACCATTTATTACCTTTGATTGAAAAAGCCTGGATACAGCCGACTGCAGTAACCTGATCCTTATTTTGGGAAATGTACTGGAGCTGGAATGTACTGCATATGTGTCTGCTGCAAAGTTTGAACTAATTTAGTGAAACAGTAGGCTTTATAACTGATAGATTGTTCTCAGCTGTACCATTACACATTAGAAATAAAGCTTCTTTAGAAATTTATGTTTAATTCATACTGCCTTTTTGTGGTGCTAAAAGAGATTAAGAGCTGGATAGTGTGTGTTAAAAAAATGCTGTCCCCACCATACATGCCTCATGATGTTTGCATTATGGAATGAGAATTCTCTAGTGACATGTTTGAGGTATTTACTGGTGCTTTTCACCCCAGGAGCTTTGGAAACTGGGACTCTACCAGTGTTAAATTCATATCAGGGACAGTTKTGTTTTACTGTGCTTGACTAATTTATTTTTTTCTTTTTGTTTAGGCGAGGGTAACTGACAGAATCTAAAAGGAGACAKATTGACCAAACATGGAAGAGGATACCAAACCTATCTTGGTTCCTGTGGGAGGCGATGAAAGCAATTATGGAATCATGAATATACAGTTTAATCCAGAAGACTATAAGTGCAAAAGGTATGAGGAAAGATGAACCTACAGAATTACTGTGTAGGAAAGAGTTGTTTAATCTTTGCTTTTGACAACAGAATCCTACTGAGACAGAAGACTAACATTTGGAAATCAGGATCTCTGTGCACACACTTCCTACTTTGTCGCTATATGATATTTTATTTCCAAGTGCTGAGTGAACAGATGTTTTTATTGTGTTTTGTTTCTAATGGTAAGRCACTTCTATTGCCATTATTTCAGAGGAGTTCTCCATTATGAATTCATCATGTAGCTTTTCMAGTGCTCTTCAAACATGCAGTATCATGTCTGCATACTGCTGGTGCATGATTATTTTTATTTAGAACAACTAACTGAAACGTTGAGACTATGCAAGAAAGATTGCCAGATGTTGTACATAAATGGCTATCAGATGGTGCTGTATGAATTCAGTAGGTGATGCTGGAAAAATACAGTATTTGCTAATACTAAGTGAGCTGAGTGACATTTACTGCCTTTTAAGAAAAAAAGTGTAGTGCTTTCTGAGATTCAACAAATATGCAAAATTTGTCAGTCTAGCCTTATTACTGTGCCTTCAAAAATAATACCTCTAGCCGACTTGTTATTTTGCATGTTTTCTTAAGAGTTCAACATCTCCACAAAGGGGATTGGAACTCCTCTGCTGCGGTTAAAATTTTTGTGGACTGGTCATGGAACCAAAACTGAGATCAGAGCGGGAACTGCTCCTCTAATACTAGCTGAAGGCATCAGCTCTGCATTTTTAGATGAAGGAATAGCACTGTAGCACCTCTTGGACCTATTTATGGGTCTTTTTTTCTYTTTACATTCAGCATATTTCAGTAAAGCACTTTTCCTGAAGGAACTGAAGATGGCAGTGTTGCATACCAAATCCTGGTTTTAGAGCCCGCTTCAGCCAAAAGAATCGTACTTGAGCATAGTGCTTTGATGCGATCTTGACCTGCAGCTTTGGAAAGCTGCATTCTCTTCTCTGGAAGCAAAGGAAGGCGATAAGGGTCTGACTGAATGCAGGGGAACAAAGGGAGCACAGGTGTAGAAGCCTACAGAATTGTGTATATAAAGACTAGAAAACAGTAGAGTGCTTTCAGGTGGAAAAGGCAACTCTGCTAAATGAAATCTTGCTCTTTGTGGAGTGTGTGAGCCCCTCATGGCCCTCTTGCCATAAGAAGACTGCTRTGACTTTTGGGAGTAACTTGTTTTGTAGCACGTGTGTGTTCTGTYTGAGCAGCAGTGGGTTTCAGGTGTTGTGGTGATGCAGTAGTAAGGAGACAGGTCCTTTTAAATAGCATAATGCCAAGATTAACTTGTCTAAGTGAGGTTAGSTATTGTTTCCATATTGTGTAGTTGTTTCTTCCTGTGATTTCTGAAGTCTGAAGACTCAGCTTCTTAGCAGGTCATAGCCTATAGTATTTGGTTCCCTCCCTAAAAGCAGCAGCATGTASTTGAATTGTGTGTCCGCATTCATGGCTTCATTCAGCTCTGCAGATCTGCCTTAATGGCCATATTTCTCCTCTCTTAAGTTCATTCTCCCATTTTCTACGACCTAGGTTTTTTGCCTTCCAAGTGTGCCGAGGGACAAAGATGAAGGGCATGAGGCCCTGGTGATATCAGAAAGGCCTAGAAATCGTAGAGGGGACAAATAAGTTTGAACTCCATTTCTGTATTAGAACAGGCAGCTCCCACACTTCAAAAGAAGAAATAAGAACAGCTCATTGGGGTCTATGTCAGTCATGGTCAGAGCAGTGGGCAGTTTGAAGTGTTTCTTCATTAAACCTTTAGGGATTAGCAGCTCCTGGGAAGGAGGATTATTATTCGTGAAAGTATCAAGCAGTGCAAATACTGTAGTACAATRCAGTGTGTTTTTGCTCTGCTTCCTTTGTTCCTTTTTTCAGCTTGCTAAGCAGGAACCAGCTTGGTCACTTTGCTTTGATTGAGATAGCTCTCCAAGTGTTTTGTGTGATTTGTTGTAATTACTGTTTGTCTGTCTTAGTAATGTTCTGTTCTTTTGTTTGGGTTGTTTGAGATTTGAGGCATTTGCATAGTTATTTGGTTTTCTTAACAGTTTGGAGGATTTGGGATTTTTGAAAGGCATGCTTTTCAATGTTTATACAAGGACAWTAAGTTAGAGTGGTAAATTACTTTGGTCTAGTATTGTTTTGCTAATTTGGGGGAACTATAAAGCTACTTCTAATCCTTTAAAGAGGATGTTATTGTTCTTTGCAGTGACCCAAATTACTCACACGGTATTCAGTGTGTTTTTCYCATTTTGTAGGTCCCTTTAAAAACTAGAATGTCATTGCTGCAGTGGCTTATTGATGATTATTGTATGCAAAAGAGGGAGTTTCTTGTTTTCTTTGGAGTGCTCTTTAAATCTGTTCATTGTCAACCACARTTGTCTTCAGGAATACTTGAACCTTCAAAGAAGCAATTGATGTTTTGTGTTAGTTATTTTGCATGTGAAAAACTTGACAATGCTTCCTGCTAAAGGGAGATCAAGCCTTCTGCCTTTTTTTCCTATTCTTTTTGAAGTCCCACAGGTTGGGGAATGTAGGAGCCTCAGTAAGTGAAATTAAACAGTGTCTGTAGAACAGAGAAGACAGTCAGAGAAGCCATTTTCATACAAAAGTGCTTGATTCCYTTTATTTCCAAAGGTCTTTTAACTTAGAAGAAGATAAGCAATGGTGGCAACATGTGCAAATACATCCTTTCTGCGTTTATTAGGCCTTTGCTACTCCATACCGATGTGATCGTTTTACACAGTTACTTGATTTCTCTGTTCTTCTCTTCTCTTCTCTTCTCTTCTCTTCTCTTCTCTTCTCTTCTCTTCTCTTCTCTTCTCTTCTCTTCTCTTCTCTTCTCTTCTCTTCTCTTC